CTTTCCCTTTGTGTTCGTCATTTTGGTTAATTACTGGAAGGTGGTAGTTCCAGCCAAAAGGCTAGGCCAGTAATTCTATCTTCTACAACTGAGGTTCAATTTTCAGTGTGATAGTTTGCTTTTGAATACTTTCAAGGGAGGTTTTGACTTCCTGTATTATAGTCTTCCTCTCTAACAGGTCCATTTGATTCTTTTTAAAGTGTGAATTTCCTCTTTTAGATCTTGCAAGAATTTCCTCTCCGACTGAAGCTTGTCAGCTTCTTTGTCCTGCCTCTTTGGCAGTTCATTGTCTTTCTTCTCTTCAATCTCTCTGAGCTTTGTCACCATGAAAATTCTAAATTCTTTATCAGACATTTCCATGAATTTCATCATACTGTCTGGGGAAGAAGAGGACTTATTTTTCCTTGGATGACAGGTATTTTCTTGTTTTTCCATATTTCTTGTGACTCTGCGGTGATTTCTAGTCATCAGATGGATGGTGTGTTTCTTCTAATTCTTGAAGTTCAGTCTGAGTGTTAAGAGGCGTGCAGAAGGAGGTGATCTGCAATCTCTCTTATGTTCCGTTCTCTTTGTGCTTCAGAATCAGTGGGAATAGAGGAATATTCCGACCCTAACTGTAGTCAGATGTGTAGATTCTGTTCACTTGGATCTGTCTAGACACTTAGTGAGCAGAGGCTGAGAAGCAAAAGAGTAAAGATAAAAAAAAAAATAAAGAAAAGAATTAAAGAAAAGGAAAGAAGAAAACAAAATAAGAAAAGAGGATAATAAAAAAAAACTATAGATTTTAATATTAAAATGCAAAAATTGAAAACCGTGAGTCACACATTGGCACCATGTGAAAGCAGTATTTCACAGCTGAAGTTCAAGATCCATGTGGAGGTGGGTGGTCCTGGGTTTGTGCCTTTCCTAAACAGAAGGGGAGAGGCACCTATTAACACAATAAAGGGGTTTGAAAGCCCAGAGAATACTTCACCTTTAAAAGAAAAAAATTAAAAGACTCAGGGAGACACAGAGAGCCAGAGAGAACTGGAGACAAAGAGACAGGTAACAATACTCACCAGAAATAAGTGAGGAAGAAGTCTCAGCAGAAAATCTTCATTTTAAGTCTCTGAAAGCACTGGTTCACAGCTGAAGTTCAGGATCCATGTGGCGAATGCACTGTTTCTTAACCAGTCACTTTTAAGTTCAGGTTTTATCATATGCGGTTATGAAAACTTTATAGGAAATACTGTATTTTTTAATGAAAAACTTCAGCATTTTTCCCCCTTCATTGAGATATTTACATTTTATATTAGTTACACATCAATTTTTTTTTCTTTAGGTTTTTGACATAGGGAATATGTACTTGCTGAAGAGAGACAGAGAGAGGGAAAGTGAGAAATTACCCCCCCATGGGGGATGGCCATGCCTCAATCCTTTCTCCTCCATTCTCTCTGGATTTTGGGCACATGCATATACACCCAGTGTGATTTTCAAGCTGCTGGGTCTAGGACTGAAACTGCACTGGGCCATCTGGGAGTCTAGTACCTTAACCATCATACCACGTGCTGGCCCACACATGAAATATTTTATGGTAGTGGTGATCATATGATGCAATTTGGAATTAATTTGGTACTTTTTCCATGTAAAATTTTTGTCATATTTGTTAAAGATTTCTAGTTAATAGTTACTGTGCAATACCATTTGTAAATTAACAACAATTGAAATGCAATAAAATGAATTTAGCTTGTTCATTCTAATTTAAGCATTGAGTCAGTAGCTATAGCCAGGCACTTCAAGTGTCTTGGCATTGTTATTTTAAATAGCATTTATTATTGTTCCTATAAACATAGACTATTTCTTCTCTTCTTTTTTTTTTTTTTTTTTAATTTTTTGAGAGGTTTTTGCTATAGGGTGCATGCACTTGCCAGAGAGACAGACAGAATGCGAGAAATCATCTCCCAGGGGGATGGTCATGCCGCAGTCCCTTCTCTTCCATTCTGTTCCTGGGATCTTGAGCACGCACGCACACGCACCCGGCTTGACTTTAAGCCACCGTGTCTGGGATTCGAACCGCAGTCAGCAACATTGGAGTTCATTGATAGCCATTATGCCAACGGCTGGTCCTTAGACTATTTCTTTTAGTCACATACCGGCCAGTAGTGAAATAACTCTACTCAATTAAGAGAAATCATTTTTGTTTTATTTTTAAGGGAGTTACTAATTACTAATCTGACTTTAGAAGTAAATAATGCTCACAATTAAATTATAGTAATAAAAAGTATATTACCACAAATCAGATGAATAGATAGCTATTTTTAGTTGTTTAGCTATTTTAATTCAAATGTTAAGAACTATAAGAAAAAATATATTCAAGGAATCCATGTTTTATATTCCAATGTTCTTAATTGTTTTAGGCTGCAGTTCATGGAGCTCGTTTCAAAGGGCAGGATCTAAAACTGGCATGGAATAAACCAATAACTAGTATTTCAGCTGTTGAAACAGAAGAAGTTGAACCTGATGAAGAGGAAGTATGTTTTTTTTTTCCACTTGTTTTTGCCCTTAATGTTTATAGTTTTTATATAAAAGGTAATTTTTATGACTGTGATTTTAACATAAAGCTTTTATTCCTGAGCCATATTCCAGGCAGGGGACATGAGATAAATGCAGACAACTTTAAATTTTCTGGATTAATAAGAACTGTGGATTGCTAATCCAAAGACAATATATGAAAACCATTTATATACCCAGTTTTCATTTACTCTTAGTAGACAATAGGTATTCATTAGCTTTTTATCCACAGGAAATCTCATAATACTTTAAGTTTTAGGGTATCTATTCTACTGAATTGTTTTGTTTAACATTTCAGCTTTCCTTTATTTTAATTCACGTTGTTTTAGTTCATTAGAGTGAATGCCTGTGATAATGGTAGATAACTATGATAGGCACAAAAATGAATAAGACACGGTCCCTATCATCAAGGAGCTTATAATCTGGAAAAGGGGGGGGTGGTAGCAGATACATAAGATTCTAATTATAATTAAAGGGAGACTGATACTCTGAATAAAGATTTGAACAAACTGCTGTGAGAACTCAGAGAAAGGAGTGATTATTTCTATGTAGAGAAATCTTGAAGGAGATATTGAGAGTGGATATGGTGCTTAAGTGATAAAATAGTTTTCTATAACCAACAGTGAGGGTTAGTACTATCGTTGAGAGAGGTATTTTAGACAGGGGATAAGTTTCAGCATAGATGTGAGAGAGTATTTTTCTTGGATAAGAGCATTCTGATAGCTGAGAGATGTGGATGTAGAACAGTGAACTCAGCCCTTTGAAACCAAAACTTTAAAAGTATGCAACTCTGTTGTATAGTCGTGAAATAAACTGTAGGAAAAGTTAAAGGAAGAAATAAAGGTAAGAAGGGGAAACTAAATGATTCCATGTTTTACAACTTTGTTATTAGATTCTCATAATGGCACTTCATTTTGTTTGAGGAGCATTTCAAGGCTGTTATACATATCCATAGTCATATGCAAGAATAAAATGTATATTTTGAAACTCATAAACATGATTTGTCATTTTATATTTTAGATTATACCTTTGTCCTTCCATGAGTTTGAATTGAATGGGGAGAAAAGCAGGAGAGCTCCTGGTATTAGGTATTTTGAAAAGTTTGAAAAAGCAGTTTGAGAAGCTTTTATAAAGGGAATGGGCAGAAGAAAGGAATGCCATAAAAGAAAATGTTACATACAGCAGAAGAGAAATATGTGCCTGGTAGACTTTTATACAAGTTATTGGTTGATTTACTGTTTAGGGATTAGGTAAGATATATCAAAGAAAACTTACTGGTGTTTTCTTTTAAAAAACATATTGAGAAATATTTTGCAAGTGTAGAAAATGGCATAATTTGGTAAAGAGAGGCAGGAAAATGGCACAGACAAAGGCTTAACTTGGAATTTCTTTAGTGCCTGTTTCATGTAAGCAGTAGAATAGATACTATGGAGAAACCATTGAGCGGATAATGATTGTTTTTATTTCTTGAATGTTCTAGCTATAGAAATACCTTTTCGTTAGACTCTGTTGAGAGTGATCAGTATTTAAAAGTGTCACCTTTTTTTTCTTTTCTTTTTTTTTGGGTAAATTCCTAAATACATTTTAACCTAAAGTTTCAGGAAGAGTCTTTGGTGGATGACTCATTACTTCAAGATGATGATGAAGAAGAAGAGGACAATGAATCTCGTTCTTGGAGAAGATGATTTGACTGATCATTGATCTGCATATGCTAGAACTCTACCTGTGTTTCATTAGTATTATCTAATGTACTTTTACATATTTGTAAAAACAATTTTTGGTAACATGTGATGAAGATGGATTTCACAAATAGATGAAAAAGAAGAAAACTACCTTCTGATCCTGTATTTTGTGAACGATTGATGTTTGCGTTTTCTTTCAGTAAACAATTGCTAAAGACATCACACTAGAAACATATGCAATGTTTTTATTACATACTTCTACTGAACATTACAGAATTCTTTGGGTTCTTTGTATTTAATGAATAGGTCTGAAAACTTACGACCAATACTTGTTATAACTTAGAGGATTTTGTTTTACTCCAAATAAGGAATGAATTTGCATTTAAAATCTTAATGAATGTTTTCAAAAATGAATAGATAACATAGTACTCTAACTAAACTCTCCAAGTTATGTATTCATAATATTACATAGTAGTATGCTTAGGCTTTACTATGTATTAGCCTTTTGTTGGACTTGTGTATGTATTTTACCATATGGGTTTTAATGATAACGATGTATGACTGCTTTACATATGAGTCCTTATGCATCCGGATGTTAAAAAATAAAGTGGAATGGTCTCTTAAAAGAAAAGGAAAAAAAAAAAGAAAGAAAGAAAAGCAATGACAAAAAAAAAAAAAAAAAAAAAAAGGCCAAGACATTGTTCTTTGATTTAAAAAAAAAAAGAAAAAAAAGAAAAGAAATTAAATAGACCATTCCAGATGGTGATCTACCCTTCCCCCCAATTGTCACAAAAGGAGCTATAATCACTAATTTATTCTGAATAATAATGATTACTGGTACCGATACAATAATGTACAACCCAATGTTTAAAATTTATACCACTTCAGTTTGGTTTGATCCTATAAATTTTCAACAGATGTTTTAAAATTTAAAAGCAGGCTGATTAGTTTGGAACCAGACTTCAAGTAGAGCTAACATTTGGTGAATAAGAAAACATCATATTACATTTTGGATGTATGAAAGAAAACTTGACCATTTGAAGATGTATGAATAAAAGAAATGTACTATAGATACTACTTTAGGAAAACACTGTTTGGTAAGTGTTCCAGTCTGATATTTTAAGTGTGCATTTCCTATACTTGTATAAAAATCTTTGGCATTTGCAACAATATTGTGATTTTTAAGTGGATTTTTCTGGCCAGTGAACATGATCATTGAAAGTTGACACAGCAGTTTCCAGGAAATAAATGCATTCTTTGTAGAATCAGGGGGTGGGAGATTACGTATTTATCTTTTGAAATTCAACATTTTGGTTGCAAGTGTTTATGCCTCTCGAGATTATAGTGATATTAAAAATCACGTTAAAAAAAATCTCTTTCTTCCATATTGGGGTCCTCACGATCAAAAACTGTAATACCATCACCGTCATTCTCTCAGTGGAGCAACTTGTTGATGCTGTTCTTTTTTCTTTTTCTCCCCTTGCACTGGGGTAAAAGTTGTGTGTATGTTTTTGATGTAATACTATTTCAAAGGAGTAGGAATATTTGGCTTGGAATTGATGTACATGTTTATATTTGAAATTTCAAGATTAGACTTTAGTTGTCTAAATAGTGTCTTTACACAAAAACTTCTTAACTTAGATCTATGATATATTTTTATGTAGTCTCTTGTATGTTGATTGTGTGCTATTCTGATTCATTAGGTAAGTTTGTTTTCTTTTCTTTTTAGTAGTCGTGAAAGATGCCAAATTGGCAGAGGCTCACGTTTCTTCTCTTTACACCAAACAGGTATTATAAAGAAAGTAAATCTTTCAAAGGCCAGTTAAATCTCCATGCTGATTTTTGGCTTTATAATTTGATTAGTAAATTTTAGCCTGATATTTCAAAATTCATTGTAAACCCCTTATAATATAAATGAACTTACATAAGCCTGCCCATAAATTTAGTCCATAAATAATCAATTTCCCTAGCCTAAAATTGTCTGCTAACCTGGAATTTAATATATTTTAAGCCATGTTGCTTTAAGTGAGTCTGAAAAGAAGTATGTTTCAGTTTGGTCTCAGAGTATGGAAATTAAATGTTATCAACATTCATTAGATTCATAATTATATTTTTATTAACAATATAGTTTTAATTTTGAATATTACTATTAAGTTGCCATTGGAGTTTTAATTTTTGAGCTTGTATGTACTCGTTTGTGTTCTTATTTAAAATTTAGCTATCCCTTTGAAGTAATGGTTAATTCCCATTTTACAGAAAGGGAAACAGGCTATTAAAGATGGTGCAACTTGTCCAAAATGATAGGTAGTAAGTGGAAGGACTAGATTTTATTGCAGGTATTCTTATTTCAATGACAGGTTTTTTGTTTTGTTTTGTTTGTTTGTTTGTTTTGTTTTTTAGCTCTGCATTGCTGCCTTATTTCTAATTACTTATGGAATGTGAGAGTGTGTTTAAAGTAAACACAGTAGTTTCTTGTTTTAAAGATAGTGTACAAAATTAATAGACTTCTTGGTCATTAGTTCATACTTTTACCTTTCCTTTTAATATAGCACTTTGTTCATATCTCTGTTACAATACTTATGTTGTAATACAATTTATCTGGTTTATATGTCTGTCTTCCCCACTAGACCACAAGCTCCTCTAGGAAAGGGACCATGTCTTATTCATCTTTTTATCTCTACTACTTATAAAGCTTGGCTCATAGTGGGCACTCAGATGTTGAATGAATTAATGAATGATGAATGCATATTTAAATCTCCAATAATGGAGTGACAGTTCTTATTACTTTTTAATTCTTATCATAAGTTTTCCAAAAATCTCTTTCTTCAAGGTCTCTTCAGTCAGTGGGACCATTTTCTTAAACAGTTGACACAGTTAATTTTCTTACCAGTGGGGTTACTAGAATTGATGGAGGTATATACATGTGGTCTTACTGGAATTTCCACAAGATTTAGGCATTAATATTCTGGAGTATTAAATGTTGTAGTCATTTTCAAAGATAAATATAGCCTTTTGGTTTCTATCATTTTGTATGATTAGAAATGTTAAGAGCCACCAATCTAGTCCATTCAATTAATTTTTTTATTCCAAAGATGACCTAGTATATTGTACTGGACAAGAGTTTAAGAGATTGAGCTTTTGGTCTCAGTTCTGCAACTAACTCTGTGACCTAAGTTAAGTCTCTTACCTTTTCCAAGGTTGTTTCCTTGCCTATAAAATGAAAGCAGTTGGACTAGTTGATCTCTAAGGTCCTTTGCACATCTGTAGTTTCACTGGTGCTATGTTAATGTCTGATCTGAAACAATTTAACATGTCTAAGCCAGTTCTCCCTATCTGTTGGTACTGTTGTTTCTCTGATCAATAGGAACGATTTAGATTTGGTTATGCTGATTCATGTAATGTCCCCGGTACAATTTTGTGTATAGTGTTCCCAAATGCTTGCATTTGCTGGCACAACTTTGATTCCTACAAAGTATAGGATTAGATTAAATTACCTATTTATTATCACTTCTCCTTCCCAAATTAGAACTTCTCATTTTGCTTGTAAGCTCAAAGTTTAAAGATAAAAATATTGCTTATAATACAGGTAGTCATTTCTCCCTACAACAATATGGATTTAAATCGTCCTTTCATCTCAGTTTACTTTTTCATTTTTAAAATGTGTTTCCTAAAACTAGAAACATATTTTAATTCTACAGCTCTCCTAACAAGCTCTGCTTTAGTACAGATCTGGGCTGTGCAGGCTGAATTGGAAAATGACAATGTAGGAGTAGCTGCTACTTAGAAGAAAAAAATTAAGGAAATATTAGAATGTTGGGAAAGTCATGATGTATTTTTCTATTTTTCTGTGCAAAAATGCATCATGACTTTCTCAACAACCCAATGTATGTATTACTGTTTAAGAGCTTGGTAAGGCTGATTGAGTTGTTATTTTATATATTTCACTGAATATTTTATGTCTCTACTTAAGCAGTGTTGTTTTTTATGTTATTGGATAATTGTAACATCTTAAAAATTAAGTAACTGATGCCCGAGCATTTACTGACAGCATGTTATAGTAATGAGAGCATATTCCATATTTTTGTTTTATTGTAATAATGATTAAATGTAACAACCCATAGTTATCTATAAAGATGAGATTTTACTGTTTTAGCTGATTACCTATAGAAAGTATGGCTGGGCTTAATAGGGGGAAATATCTTGTTATTAGAACTGTTTTGGAGAAACTCGTAGTCTTACTTGGAGCACTAACCATTGGCTACAAGGGTTCAAAGAAAGGAAACGGTTGCTTATTTGGTATTTTAAACATCAGTGACTATTTTAGAGTATTATACAAACTTTGTCAGTCTGTATTTTCTTTCCCTTACATGTAATATAGATCAATTATAGAAAATTAGTTTTAGTTCTCTAGAATTTATGTTAGTATTTATAACTCCCCTCATTTTACCTCACAAAATGTCGATTAGCCTTTTAAAACAATAATGTCCTATGTGAAACTCTGGCTATAAAGTTAGCTCACTTTTTGGACATTCTGGGCTTATTTATCTAAAATTCTGTAAATTAAAAATGGAAATTTAATACAGAATTAAATCACCAGTGTACTTACATTTGTAAGGCAGAAAGACCTTTTTCTCAGATCTCAGGAAAAAACTTTGTTCTTGTTAACTTCTTGAACTTACTAGTTGCTCTAAGGTATGTATATAGGCCTTTTGAGAAGAGCAGGTTGCTTTTGTTTTTGTTTGTTTTCTTTTTACTTTAATTATTATATTCCTATCAGATGACAACGGATAATCTTCCAAAATAGTCCTAGGAATGAAAAATCTTGTCAACATGACTGCTATTCTCAGCAATTTTTAATGATAAAGCATACTTGCTTAGTGGGAAAACACCTACTTTGGTAATAACTTACTTGCAGCACATTAGTATTGTTTGTTCATTATTTAGTGTGATTGAAAGCATTTTTTAATTTTACTCATTTTGTATCAACTTTTTATACTTGCTCCTTCCTGAATCTTTCCCTCCCTGTTTCTTTATTTCATCAGTGTACTCAGCTTCCCATCATCTAAAGTTAGTTTAGCCTTTATTTTTACACAAGGCATTGTCTTATTTTGATGTGTTCCTTTTTACTTATTTTTGTGTTGTGTTTTATTTATCCTTTCTGCTTACTGTAGGATTTTACATCATATAGTAATTAAAGAATGAAATAACTATCATATAGAGTTTAAGGAAATTACATACATCTTGTAGTTAATTATTTTGAAATCTTTGGGCAACACAAGAAAATTGTTCTTGCTTTTTTGTTTTTGAATGACTTGGAATTTGTTCATAATTCTTAAAATTTCCTTGCCTATCTATGCACACCCACCTCTATGAAAATGTAATATCTGATCAGTTACTAAATTTCTTAACCCAAAATTTCATGTTAGCCATGTTGTAGTGCTGTAGTCTTTGCAGCTTAATGTTTTAAAGGAAACATGATACAGAGAGGAAAGCTGATCCTTTATGTAATTTATCTGCAACATTGATTTTGATTCCTTCCTCAGATAGATTTTTTAAATGTTTAGAAAAGTTGGAGATCAACTTATGGTATGATTCAATTTTTATATTTATTTACTACTTTCAAAAATTTTTTTAATAGTTTTCTCTTTTTCCGGCAGAGAGAGATCATCATTGCCTGAATTTAGCTTTGTGACTGCAAGAGCAAGACCTGTTCCTGTCTGGAGACGACTGTTATAATAATACATGCTATCATTTTATGTTTGCCATTATCAAATTGAATAGCTGTTTACATGTACTATAATTAGCATTTTTGTCTCTACAGTTCTCTAAGAGTACATCTGCATCCAGAAGTATATTTGAATGTGTGCTGTCTGACGTTTTTCAAATGTTTTCTCCTCTCACTTTATAGCAGTTTATTTTTTAAACACCTTGGGAAGGAACAAGGCTTCTTGGTTTCCTATTTTGATATACGTTCATTTTCAGCTAAGTTAATTAAGACTTGTGTCTAGGATATCTTTAAAGCCATGATACTGTGCTCATGAACAATTTAGAATGAAGAAAATGAATTAAACGGTTAACCATGAGTTTGATTTTAATTTTTAATTTCTGGCATACAATAGCCATTTAAAATAATTTTGAACAAGTGATAAAAAAAGTTTTCTTAAACATTATAGTAGCTTGCCTGTTTATTCTGAATATACTCACTGACATCTTTGCCAAGGCCACTTACCAAAATTATTTATTTTTAAATTCTTAACTCTTCAAAACCAACAAAGGGAACAATTTTCTTTCTTTTCAATTGATAAATGATCTATGGACTATAAATATGGAGAAATAATTATTAAATGTCTAATTTACACAGTTTTTTTATGTTTTCTTCACTTGCCATCAAGACATCAGAGACAATCTTAAATGCAAGGGGGAATTAGTGTTGTATGTCCAACATTGTTAAAGGCTATGTATGCCTTTTACCTGCTTTTAAAAGTGTTTGTCCAAGTTATTTATTTTAAGCAATATGGTTTAGAATTATTTATAAAGAATATAATTAAACTTCACCTTTAAGTATTCACTCACAATATGCTTTTTATAATAGCCACCATAAAAAATATTTTTACAATATGAATTTCTGCGTGTTCCCTTATAGATTCTCAGGTGGATTTGAGAAGTCAGAAATACTCTATAGCAACTCATAGTATACAGGTCCAAGTTCCATCTGGCTGTACTAATTTTATCCCTTTTTGTGAAAAGCTGACTATTCTGAATGCTTTTCCCTCCTTGAATAGGCATTGCATTTCTCTTCATTAAAAATAAAAATAATGGGACCAGCAGTTAGCATAATGGCTATGTCGCTGGACTCCCATGTAGTTGACCGCGGTTTGAGTCCCGGACCCGGGGGCTTAAACTCAGTCAGACGTGTGTGCGTGCATGCCCAAGATCTGGAGAGGAGAATGGAGGAGAAGGGATTGTGGCGTGGCCATCCCCCCCGGGGGATGATTTCTCACTTTCTGTCTCTCTGTCTCTGTTTTTCTGGTGAGTGCACGCGCCCTGTAGCAAAAACTTCTCAAATAAATAAATAAATAAATAAAATAAGGATCAAATCAGTTAAAGTATAAATGATCTCTTTTGATCCACATTAGTTAACACATAACAATGGTTAATGCCCGGCTTGATTAAAGGGAAAGTACATATTTTGGAAGATCTTCTAATATAATTATGACCTGATATCTTTCAAGACTTAAAATTTTTTTTTTTAATTAAACTTTTATTTTGGGTCACATTTGCAAACTAGCAGATAGTCACATTGAGTTCAAATATTTTGCAGTTCAATAATTTTTTTTTTTTCAAGAAAGAATTCTCTGCCTCTGCAGTAGTGGTTTAGGTGCAAGGTTGGAACCCAAAGAATGTTGTATGAAGAAATCATACTTCCTGTTAACAGTGTTGGTTGGTTAATGGATGTGGACCACATACTACCACCTTCAAGTTTATTTTGTCATCTTTCTTTTGTCCCCCTTTGCTTTTAAATTAAAAATAAAGCAAAATTGAATATGCCATTGGCAATCAGAAGTCAATATAATTCTCATTGAGATCATTGTACTTACTGAAAATTGTGAGATTCAATTGGTTAGATACATATTTTAAACCCCGTATGTTGATTGATTAAAGATAAGGTTTTTATTATTTCATTGTCCTGAATAGGACTCTCATGGAGCTATGTGTAGATAACTGTACGAATCACTTTTGTGTAATTGAATGAAGCAGTTTACCTCTGCATGATTGCATTACGGAAGCCTTTTATATATCTTTATATTTTTCAATATACTTAGATTTTACACTATTAGTCGCTCTAGTCATGCTATATTTGCTTTTTTTTTAATAGAGTTTATAAATATTTATGCTCAGAATACAGATGAACTGAATATTTTTGGTCTTGTTTACAGGATAAATAATACTCTAAAGTGTTACAGGCCCCTCAAGTGTCTTAGGAAAAAGTCATGGTGCTATAAAAACTTTCTATCATTTTTGAACTTAATGTCTAGACTGCTAGGCTTTAATCTGTGATTGTTTGCCATTTAATCTAGCAGCATAATTATAAAACTGGTTTTTGCTAAGTCAGGTTAAGGGCCCACCTAGCTCATTAAAAACACCTTATAATTTAAAGATGCAATGCAGAATGACTGTACACTTACTTATGCCCTGCTTCCCCAAAATAAAAGTTTATTTTGATTAAAGGGAGGTTATTTATTTGGCTAGAATTTTAAAATGATACATTCAGCTCAACTGTTTTTCTATATTTCAAATAGAAAACTACTGGTCCTAAAATATGTCATCCTGCCCTGCTTTAAATTCCCATCTGTCTTTCACTTACTTACAAGAGGTAGAGTAATTCCTAAATATTTACAGAATGTTTGATGAGTTGTAAAAAGATAATATGTTGTACAAGCTTTGCATTGATGTCTAGATTTTTTTTTTTTTCTATTTTGTCCCCAAGATTTCATTCCAGCACCTTAGTGAATGTTCTTAAGATACAATTTTTAAGTATCGGCAAAGCATTCATAGAAGTTTACTTTTGATTCTCAGAATCCTGAACCTGTTTTGGGTGTGATAATTACTTCAGAACATATTGTCTGACACAAGATTTCCTTTGATAACTGGTTTATTTTAACTCAGTTTCTGTGGACTGTTGAATCTACAAACACCAAAGGAGTCTTCTTGTCTGGAGACTGGATTGTTCCAGTTTTTAATACCTGTGCCCATAAGTATCCCATTTCACGAATGTGTGTTGGCATGGGGAATAATTCCCTGCTCTTTGAGTGGAGCGAAAGTAATTGGTTAAGCTGCAGCAGCTTTTTGTTTATTTTTAAAAGTGATAATAAAACTTGAACTGAAAAAGGTAAAACTTGAACTAGAAAACTACTCTTGTATGCTTAGAATGTTTATAGTACTACATGTTTATGTGAGGTTGTCAACACTTTTATTATTTATAGTTGAATTATGTTTTGTTTGTTAAATATCCATAATGTTTATTATTTTTATATTTTGAAAAATTTTAAAATAAAATAGTCTTACTAAAAACAGTCGTTAATGTTTTAAAATTGTCCTACATCTTGCATCAATTACATTAATATAGATGAGGAAGAAAAATGTTCATTCATCATTGAGAATTTGGAAAGTGTTTATATAAAAATAAGACTCCACATTTTCTCCTCTTTATCCTGCAGTCTCACCTTAAGTTGTTTTTGCCTCATCTTTGTCCTCAGTGTGTCCAGTGGCCTAATGACTCCTGTAAAGGCATGCACATAACTTCATTATCCTTCTCCCCAATTCCTGTGTTTACGCTTCTGGAAACACTTTCTTTGTTTAGTTTGGTGGTTAAAAAGTTCTCCTTATCATGAGTGGTAAGTTTAAAAATACTGTTGTGATGATGAAGAATGAATATCATAGATTTTTGAAGTGAAATTAGACAAAGTGCTTATAATATCAACCTCTAAAGTAGTTGAAAGTTTTCAGAACCTACCTCCATAATTTTTAGTTTTTTTCTGAACCTTTTCTTTTCCTGATCTATTTTGGCCTCCTTATCCAGCATTCAGCATATGTTTGTTTCATATTTAATTTTGTTGAATGAAGAGTATTATATTCTTTTGTTTTCCATAGCAGATACACGTGTCATCTGTGCAATTGGTTAAATAAGATTGGTAACTTCCTACTTGTGACACTGCTATGAGAAAGTACATTTATATCTCTTAAGTGCATAAGATTTAACAAAAATCTAGCTAAACTGATTTGGTTGTGAAATAGAGGACTTTGGTTAATAAACAATGACACACTTGGTGAAATTATAAAAGACTTTTATATAAGTACAAACAAAGCCAGCCTCTGTGCAATATTTACAGATTGATCATGTCGTTAGCCATCACTTAACCTGAACAGTATTTCAGCAAAGAGTATGAAATGATTCGTCCTTTAATCCTTTAAATGTATCATATATAGTGTATGTTATTGTAGAGAAACTAGAAATTTTAAAGTTTAAGGTAGTATGACTAGCCTAATATCTATAAATAGCATAGACTTTTTTAAAGATAGGATTACATAATTTATACTGTTCTGTAGCCTCTCTTCCCTTTTGCTTATGATAAATTTATGCCATTTCTAGGAACTTCTTGATTATTTGTAGGTGAATCATAATCAGTTCTCATTTTGCACTCTTGGGGCCTTTTCATTTTTTTACTTTAAACAATGCAATATTCTCGAACATCTTTGTACCTTTCATTAGTCACAATATCGTCTCCAAACTGTTTGGTCAAAGTATATTAGTTTTGAAAATTTGGAATAAATTTTGAATTTGATCTTTTACAATTCAGATACTGTGAACACCTAGGTACTGTAATAGTCTAGCTTTGATAACAGCGTAAGTTCAGTACTCTTTGCACACGTTAGACTTTTTTGAGTTTATTCCATATTCATAGCACAACAGCTACATTATGCCTGATAAATTAGTTTAACTCTGATGCAGTAGTGGCACTTTATTATAGATATTTTCCAGTACACAGTAGATCATGTCCACAGGTTCTGCATACATGGATGCAGATAAAAAATGTTAACTTGTTGCTGTTGTGTATTATGTAGTTAGGCTTATAATGGTTGCATATGTACTGAACATGTACAGACTTTTTCTTGTCATTACCTACAGAATACAATATAATAGTTACATAGCACTTATATTGCTTTAGGTACTGTAAGTATTTTAAAAAAGTATAGAGGAAGATTGTCCAGGATTTATACAAATTTGTCATTTTATGTAAGGAACATGAGTATCTTTGGATCTTGTATCTGCAAGGGGGTCCTAGAACCAAGCCTTCAGAGATAATGAGGAATGTATTATATACTTGCTAGGATTCTGTATACCATACCAGACTTTTTTTTTTTTTTTTAAGAGATTTTTGCTGTAGGCCACATGTACTCCCCAGAGAGAAAGAGAATGAGAAATCCCCTCCCCTCCCCGGGGCGGGGGGGTGATGGCCATGCTACATTTCTTCTCCATTCTCCTCTTGGGATCTTGGGTATGCACGTACACAAACCCACTGTGAGCTTTAAGTCACTGAGTCTGGGACTTAAACCGCAGTACTATGTGGGAATTCAGTGATGTAATCATTGCGCCATCTGTTAGTTCCGCTACTACGGTTTTAATAGTTTTCTTATAGCATTTAGTTTTCAAGAACTTTTACAGTCTCATAATTAGTCTGTAGTGAAAAGTATTGCAGATTGTTTTTATTAGACAAATAGTAGGATTGGGATAGAAATTTTTAATGCCCTAGCCACTATAAGAACATGCAAGTAGCCACTAAATAAGTGATAGCCAAAAGCTCCCCTCCCCCTTTTTTTAATTCACCAGAGAGCAGTGCACTTATCAGGGCAAGAGAGGAGAGGAAGAAAGTGACCACATTGCAATCCCTTTTCCTCCATATGTCATCGTGTCAGGATTTAGGTCATGTGTTTCTTCAACCATGTTGGGCTTAGCTCTATCAACCATTAGGCATGGGGCTGGCCTCCAAATCCCCATATTTTTAATCTCAATAGTCCAAACTGATTTAATCTAGAAAAATGTAAATTGTGTTTTCCCCATGAAGTTCATACTGATACATATAAAGCATGAAATAGACAAAGATGAAAACTAGATGAGAAGGTAGTGGAGCTCAGTTTTCCTGTCATAAGGATACTAGGTAAGTATATATGACATTAATTTCAACATTGACGAATTTTCAGTGATATGGGAGTTTTCTAAGTG